ACTTTGCATGAGGGTGTATACAAGAGATGGAAATGAGAAGTTTGCTTGCATGCAAAAGACAAGTCATCCGACAGCTGCCAATCCCCATTCACAGGGAGAGCTTCCTCAGTCTCCAGGAGAGGAAAGAGAAGGGAACCAACATGTTTGCTTCCCAGGGAGGTGAAACAGGCTCTGAATATTCATAAAATGAATGTCCATTTAGTCATGGGAGTGCTAATTGTCTCTGATTCACAAAAGTGGGTGACCTCACCTGCTCCTCACAACATATCAAAAGGATGCGGCATAATGCAATGAAACCAGATAAGATCCTCATCTCACAAGTTTGGGGGGCTTTCTGATGCAGCCTCCGAAGACTGAAGCGCACTGCTGAGCATTTCTTTAATCACTTCTCAAGTGCAATAAAGACCAAGCTCAGCGGAGCATGTTATTAGGCAGATAATAACCCCTCCACAGCAAAGATCTAAATCCTGGAGTCATCACACACAAGACAGGTTGTCTGGAAAGTTTTTGTTTACCTTATTTTTTTTAAAAACAAAACAACAACCAGGGTGTACACACCTCACAGACTGCCTAGAACTGCCATGGAATTCACACTACAACAGCTCATCTCTCTTCAACTGAGAGGACCATACCCTATTGAGCTGCTTCTTCTCCAAAGCACACAGAATAAGGAACAGATTCTGCTCTGCCATGTAGCAGCTGAAATTCTGGCAGCACTTTGGAAAGAAGTGGTATGAGCCCTTCCCCAAGGAATACATGAAGGCAGAGTTGCTTGATAACAGTTGTGGCTTGACTTCCTCGGAAAGAAAGCATTACAGAGTCTGCACAACATTTAAATGGAGGATCTTAAAATATCCCACTTGGTACAAAAAATAAAAAAAACTTGGGAGCAACCTTTGGAAGACCTTTTGAGCTCCCTCAGAACATAGCATAACCAAATCAGCTTTTAAACAGAGAGAAGCACCAGCTAAGTTTGGCTCAGACAGGCTGTGTTTGGGTACAGCTGCCATGCCCCTCCTGGTAGCTTCCCCTCTTCCCAGCTCCTTTAAAGCGTAACGTGTTCATCACTGCTGTTCTGACAAAAAAAACAACTCGACTGACTGAAATTATTTCACTGCCCTGCCCTGACAGAACCCACCATCCAAAAATCTTATCACAGAAAAAATATATAATTAAACTGTAATCTTCTGATATAAACCAAACTGCTGCTCTCAATGATCACAGTCACTCTTCAAAGCCTCTGAGATAAAAAGAATCTTATCGTTCAAATTATTGCTTCTTAGGGATGCTTTTATCAAAGTTAGAAGGAAAATTCTAAAAACAGCAGTGATAGGAAAACGGGAGCTAGCCATATTTAAATGACACTGGATTTTCTGCCAAATTGGCCGATCCACAACTCAAAAAAGCAAGCGTAGATGAAGACAAAGCTGTTGGCTCTCATAACCTTTACAGTATCACAGTAAAAATCTCAACTGTCTCACATATTTATATTAAATGGCAGGTCTAAAATTGAGATTTGTAATTTCACAGCATCAAAACCATCACAGATGGCTACAGTCTATGGCTTCTTTAATCAGCCTTCTCTCCCTTCCTGCTTGTTTCCCCCTTCCTCCAATCTGAGTTTAAAGGATGTGTTTTATCATAAGGAAATCAGAACTAAACGCAAACCACAATATATTAATTGTGTAACAAAACCATCTGCATAACAATGACGTGTACAAGCAAATCTCAAAATTATGTCTCAACGTTGCCCTAAAGCACCTCAGCCGCGAGATGTGTCACGAGTCGGGACAGCTTCAAGTTCCATCAACAATATTCCACGCTTGTGCGTACACACGCTTGTGTGTAAAGGACAGCCATTAGCACAAGAAGTTCTTGGAAGATCTGTACAACTAAAGATCCACAGCAAGTTAGAGTTCACAGCACACATCAGCTGTCAGAAATCAATCAGCGCTCATCTTGTATTTCCAGTGAACAAGACAGTGCTGAGGAAGTACTCCCAAGGCACCTCTGAAGCGAAATAAGCAGGAATTAAACACTCGGCTCTCTTCTGTCCCTGCTCTGGGCTTTTGTGTGTCTATACGTGTGCATGTATATATTCTATACACATTTTCCCTATATTCATATTCCATACGAACCCTTGGAAGTTCAGTGAGGCGATTTATCAAAGTCAGCAGAAAAAAACAGCAGTTGTTTGACTGAAGGACAGACTTTGTGCAATCATTTCCAAACACCTCCATACAACACACGCCATTTTTTCCACACATCCTGGTCAAGGTCAGAGTGTCATTAACATCTGCTACGGGAGGCGCTTTAGCAGGGAAGCATCTTCCCATTGTTCTTCTCCTACACAGAGCAGATATTAACTAAATGCAGCTCAAGGAAATATCTCGTTTAAAACCCAGAGGGCTGAATGAACTTGAAGCCCAGGCAGCTCTCAGGGGCCGTGCGGGGGATGCGGGTCTGGGAGCACCGAGGTCTCCCGTGGCTCTGCAACAAGTGCGGGCCCCGCTCTGCTGCCCTGAGCCTCTTCTGCCCAGCAAGCTTTTGTCAAACATTTAAAGTCTTAATCAATGCTAACTCTGACCCAAGGATCACAGGGGAAGATGGATGAGGAAACGGACAACCTCTGACCTCCCCTTGTATTTGTCCTGCCATAGCCAGCCCATTGAAAAACAATTGGGGTGGAACCCTCTCACCAGCTCCAGGCCCAGCCTGGCATCCTTTTATCGCCTTTCACAAGCTCACATTCCCCTTCCTCCCCCGTCCTTGCTCCAAACCCACAGGAATGCTCCTCATTTCACGCCCCCAGCCCAGTGTCCGGCCAAGTGAGACCCAGCCCAGCTGTGTGGTGGCAGAGGGCAGGACAGGGGCCGGCTGCGTGCCACAGCCGCGGCGTCAGGCAGCACGGGCGGCAGCACGCCTCGGCTCTGCGGGGCTCCGGCAACCAGAGGAGCTTCCTGGTGAACCATTCTGGCTGGGGAACAGCAAACGCTGAAAGAGGAAACCACAAGTAACCACTGATGAAATGGGTTTAGCACTTTCCAATTACTTGCTGGCTCAAGTCCTCCGAGAAGAACTGGCACGGGCCAGCCTGACTCTGGCAAACCCAGGAAGACAGAAAGTTTCCTTCTCAGCTGCAAACGTGATGCAGCCTGGCCCTCCTCCAGCCGCACAGACAGGCTGCCTGGTTTCCTGAGCCCAGCAGGTACCTGCCCATGCACATTCAGCCCCAAGGTCCAGTCCAATGACAGAAAAAGAGAAAAACAGCCCACTCCCACCACCGCCCACCAGCAAAACCTGAACACCTTCCCTTGCAGAAGGCAGAACTCGTTACACGACAAGCTCATACCACGTCCGGGCCGCTGGCGAGGAAAAGCATGAGATGTGTGTCAATCGGTGTGACCCGGGGCTGACCCAGCAGGCCTTCAGAAGAAGGCACAATCATTTCCATGCAATAAACCAGGATGCTTTTCCCCCATTCACTTCCTCCTCTCACAGCCCAGACTGTTAATGTGTCAAGATGCTTTGCCTAGAAGTCACCAATCTATCTGAAGACAGCAACACCTCCTCAGCCTCCCGTGGCTCTCCTAAGCAGCGCCCCCTCAGTGCCACATCTGCAGGTTTGCATCTTCAATTGTATGCAGGTTTTTGAGCTTCTGTCTCACAGAACTCCAAAGGCAGTCCTTTACCCCAAACAGGATGCCCCTTCCTGATGCTGTTCATTTCCCAATGCTCACTACAGCCCATGGTAATTTCGATGCCAACAGGCACTTAAAGATTTTTTCCATCTAGCAAAAACTGCACAAATGAAGGCAGAGGTTTGCACTCAGAACTTCTTTCCTGCCAAAGCTTAATTTCAGTATGCAGTAATGAGCTTCATGTGCAAATTATGATTTAAAAGAAATCAAGTAGGCCGTTCAAAAGACAACATTCTCACAGGAGTTCAGCACAAAGGCAGTCAGACGCTTGCTTTGCTAGCTTGTTCTCAGTCCCCACTAAATAAGGACCTGCTGGAAAATGCACCAATGGGATGTGAAGCCAAGACATTTAGCTCCAAACCACCTTTTCCAAAAACATGGGTACAAATCCACTAAGACTTGCAGCACCTTCAATTCAGCACCTGGCAGAATTCAGGCCACTGAACTGTGCGAAAGCATTTCAAATTTCATCTTCGTTTACGCTTACACAAGCAAGAGTTTAGAAGCTGAGGCCAAAGATTTTTTTATTTATAAACTCTTCTCTCCTTCCTTAACCTTCTACTACTTTTTCCAGAAAGGAGAGATGAAGAGAACCTAGGTTTTTGAGGGTGTTTTTCCCCCCCTTTTAGGACAATTTGTCTTTTATATAAACTTTAATCCCTAATTCAGCAGTACATAGGATGGGGGGGGGGGGGAGCAGACTTTCAGCATTTCTAAGAGTATCCTAGCACCTCCATTATTAAGCTGACAATGGAAACCCTCTGAGAAATGAAAATATTGAACAAAGGCAGCAGTGTCAAATATCAAAAGGTTATTTAGCACTAAAAATTTGCAACAAGTTAAACACCAAAGACTTCCCCTTCTCAAAGGGGGAAAATAATGCAGCTCAAACTGCTGCTGTTCTTTTTTTTCCCCCTCCTTTCCTCCTCCTGACTGGTTCTTATCCCACTGCATTATCCAAGGGAAACTTAAAAGAATTGTCACTTTAAATGATGGCAGCTCAGCTGCACTGCTTTGCAGTCACACACATTTTGGTGGCTGTTGCAGACCAATGCAAATTTAGGTGCCTGCTGCAAAATGCATTTTGCCTTCTGCCTATTATGGCAGTATCATTTGTTTTGCATTACATAATTCTTAGCCTTGCCACCTGGAGCTGTTGGACTCCTTCATTAAACCCCTCTGTCCCACTGCATCCCACAGGGGCTGCTAATTACTGGCTTTACTCCATTTACTCTCATCTCCAATCCAATTATGTATTCAACTAAGCCCTAATGAAAAGTACAATATGGCTCATCTTACCTTGGCATTCACCATTGCGTTCTTCATAGCCAGCATTGCACAGACAGTTGCCAATGGGTACCAGCCATTCACCATCTGCCCCGCAGTACATTTTTGGCATGTCCTTCTCTTCCGAGTTGTTGACACAGGAGCCACGAACCTCCACCAGAGAGGATGTATCAGCCCCAGTAATGGTATCTGGAAACTGCGCCAGGTTTCGAACTGTCAGGGGGCACTTCTTATAGAAGACACGAACAGACACCAAAGCAATGCAGGCACCGACGTCCTGGAAAGCCAAGTAAAACCCTTTCTTGCTGAGAGGTCCCACGTCCCGCACCTCTGTATTCAGCTTCATGATCCTGTCGCCAATGTCCACCTGGGTGAAGCTCTCATCAGCAGCAATGGTGTCGATCTTGGCAAACTGGCTCTCTCGAATAAAACGCTCCTTGTCATTGTTTGATTCATAGTAATAGAGGTTGAAAGTCTCTTTGCAAGTTCCCATGACACCTGGCAGGCTGTTGCAGTCTCTCAGTGTGAACTTGATTTCAATATATACCCTCTGAGCCCCCTCACGGGGAATCCAATCAGTTCGTAACCAATTATTCTGACTGGGCTCCATCACATTGCAGACCTGGTAGGTGCGGATCGGAGTGTTTTTCTCATCCATTATGCTTACTTCCTCCCACTGTCAAGAAGAAAGAGCAGAAATGCATCAGTATTCAAAAGAAGCAACAGACATTCACAGTAAAATTAACCTGCCCTTCCACAACTAACAGGGAGATGGCATTTTTTTCTGCTGAAGGAAAACAAATAAATAAACGCATCTATCACGCCAAAGCCAGACCTCAACTACTTGGACATTCAACGAGAAGCCCACTGAAGAGAGGCAGGCTCCAAACCAGGTAAGACTGAACAGCTCAGCCCCCAGGACCCAACTTGGATCAGGGCACATGCAGCACTTCACAGACCGGTAGCACAACACCAGCCTTGGTGTTTCCTCTGCAGCAAATGTGAACCCCTCTTTGTACACGAGCAGCAGGCAGCAAAATCACGTGACAGAGATGGAGTAACACCCACATTTCTGGCATCACCACCATGGCTCTTAAACTGCTAAACCAGCCCTGGTTATTTCTGAGAGCTTCCAACCACCACGCTGGGCTGGCACCACATTTTAGAACTCTTCCACTCTTCAATCAAGTTCAGGCACCTCCTTCAGAAGTGCCCAACCAACAAGCAACATAATTATGAAGCACCGATACCTGCAATCCAAGGAAGACATGCAAAGAAGAGATCTTGCCCTAAACCATTTCTGGATGAGGAACTTAAAGAGAAAGAAAACATAAGCAAGAGCTTTGGAAACAAACAAACCAACCAACCCCACAATGTTCTAGAGATTGCGATACAAGAAGGTTCACCACAGTGCTTTCCTGGAGTGGAAAGAAGAGGGGCCTTGGCAAGATACTTCTAGTAAAATCCCCACCGTGCTTTGGTTTAAGAGAAATCCTTCTTCACAGAACAACAAGAGCAACAACAAAAGGCAGCATGTATTAGATAATGCCTGCTTGAGTTCGGAGGATATACAAAAAAGTATATAAAAATCATCCTTAGAAAAGAAAAAAAAAAAATCCATCAGAAACTTTAGAGAAACTTCCCAGAAGTGCTGTTCTGAAGCCATGGCTCCGATAAACAAAAGCCTTCTTAATGTTAAGGGCCTTCTAATATAAGATCCTGCACTCTGCTCACAAGGACTGCTCATATGAGAGTGATTTTTACTTAAAGAGATTCCAGCTTAGCTGAATCCATTTATAGAAAGACAGCAGTTAGCACCATGAGTCACTAGGAGCAGAGCAAATAATATTTTATTCGCTGCCCAGCTATAACTGCAAATTAAAATGGAAGCAGGGACGGGGCGGGGGGAAATCAATACTCAGCATGCCATGACTTTTCACAGAAAAAGGAAAAAATAAATCTTAAAAAGCCATCTATCAATGTAAAGTGTGACACAGTGTTAGTGAGAAGACAGTTATTTAATTTACAGCTGCCACAGAGCCAGTTTACTGTTGCAACATTGTCTTTATGATCCATCAGTTTCTATTCTGCCTGCGACCCGTCTACACTACCTATCCGTGTGTGGTAGAAGAGAAAGGAAGCAGCAGAGGGAAGCAATACTCGCGGACGGGATTTCCTTCAGCACACTCATACAAAGGAGGATGCTGCACAGGGCTCCACGCAGAGCCCGCTGAGGCTGCAGCCACACTCAGCGAGCCTTGCTCAGGACCTCAGCACAGCCCTGCCTCCCAGCACACAGCAAACGTTTCTTACTTCATGGACACACAAACCAAATGCAAGCACACCTCCCCGCCAGAGCTGAAAACGACCAGAGCCCCAAGACTTCCAGCCACTGTAAATGGTTTGTAACTCCAAGTACGTGGGCAAAGGCTTAATTTCAGCTTGAAAGCAAAAAGTTAACTTTCATAATTCAACTCTTCTCACGGTTTAATGATGCAAAGTAAAACATTCTGGGCACAAAACCTGCTTTTCGACTGTGAAACGCAAGAGAAAATCATTAATGACGTTTATACTGCAATTCATTAATTCCTCCAGGGCTACTATACATTTGATTACAGCCAGGCGTTGCTAAATGGCAGCGTTTATCTCCAACCCGTCTTACTCACGCAGCCCTCACACCTCAGGAACTGGCAGGGGTGCAGAGGCACATCTCCTGGAATAGAGAAGGTGCACACAGATAAACTGGTGCTGAAGGACAGGGTCTTCCCAGGAAGATAAAGGAGAGAGTTCACTGCTGCTGCCCGAAATAAACCTGCAGCACACAAAGCTAAAATAAACGCTTTGCAAGCACTGTCTCTCAGAGCAGACCATGTACTCTTAAATTTTTCACTACTGGCTTAAAAATAGAACACACATATGTAGGTTTAGTGAAACCAGTCACGTCCACAAGGAGAGCGCGCGCTTCCTTCTCCAGCTTGCATGGAGCTTTCAGGGAAGACATGAGGGGAAAGGGAGAATTCAACAGTTAATAGTAACAAAGCCCTCCCTGGTCATCAATTCATCCCTGACTTATTGAAACTTATACATTGGGTCCTACTTTCATCCACAGCGCAGGTTCCCCTTGCAGAGCTGCAGGACAGACCCTGCTCACACAGCTGCCCGTCCTGGGTTGCAGCCCTACAGCCCTCCCCAAGGCAGAGCTGCTCCTGGCAGCTGTGCAGGCTGAGGGCTGCAACCAGTGGGCACCGCAGCGCAGCCTGCAGGGCTGCCGCTCAGCACCGTGCTCCGGAGCTCAGTGTGCCAGGCTCAGCCCCAGCCGGGCTGTAGTCAAGTTCAGGCAGAACAACAATGGAGAAGCCAAACAATCCCCCTTTCTCCCATGCTATGGCTATTCAGAGCTTATGCATAATACGTCGCCAACCAGCACAACCTCAGATTCCTTCCACCCGCTGCTGTTTCCCTAGCTCTCTTCTAATTACAAGCAGGAACACACACACACAACTAAACCCGTAGGTTCCCAAAGACCCCAGCACTCTGTTGTGTTTGGGTCTGGATCTTTCAGCACTTATTTTTCACCCAGTTTGACTTAGGGTGCTCAAAGAAAAGTAATTAAGCTGCTTTAGTCATCTCATATTAAAAGGATTTGAGAGGTGGGCATTTTTTATTTATTTTATTATCGTTATTAACGATTAGTGTGCGTTGCCTGCATTTTTCTTAAGCTGCTCTCTTTCAGGAAGAAAGCCCCTTCTAACCGCACACCGCGGTGACCCCGCCAGCCCCAGAGCCCCGCGTCCCACGGACCGCAGCAGCGGCTCGCACTGCGGGCACCCTGCCCTCCTGCCTGCAGCCCCTCCGCAGCGCCGCGCGGAGCCCCGGCCGCCTCCAAGTGAGGCTTCTGCTGTCACCGCACCGCAGGGAATCGGAGCGACTCTCTCTTACAATCACCTCTTTATGAAAAGCGCACCAGAAGACCCGGGCGGCACAGGTTGCGCGCTGCAGGTACCCAGCGGGAGCCCAACGCACCGCGCCAAACCGACGGCAGCCCCGACCCGCGATGTACCCGCGAGCGGCAGCGCCAGAGCGCAGCGCGGCCCGGCGGAGCCAGCCCCCAGACGCAGTAATTACAGCCAGGACCGCCGGTTCAGCCGCCGGATCGCGTTTCTCGTTGGTATTTCACCTTCAAATAGGCACCTAAGCCCGTGCCTGAACCGATCCCTTAATTCCGAAACCTCTTTTCTGCCCTTTTGGTTTTTACCTCTTCCATGACAGAGCCATCCGAAGGGAGTATAGAGTTTCCCCAACAAAGAGTAATTCACTCCGCGAGCCCGGGCCGAAACCCGACCTCCCCGCCGCAATCAGCGGTAATCGCGCCATTAGGGCACTCCGAAACGCACTAATCGCCCCCTTTGCCCTCGCGATCCGATAGCGGTGGACTTACCCCTCCTTCCAGCGGGCTCGCGATCCAGCCCAGCTCTCCCTGCACCGAGCGGGAGTCCAGCAGGGTCACTGCGGAGAGGCAAAACAGCGCGTTACGCTCCGGCCGCACTCGGGAACACCGCGCAGGGGCGAGCACTCCGCGCGCGAGTCCCGGGCAGCTCCATGGGGGCTCGGAGCGGGGCGCCCCGGGAAGTAACGCGGCGCGGGGCAGGGCCGCTCGCTGGAGCCGCTCGGGCTGCGCGGGACGGCAGGGGGAGCGAGTGGAGCTCCGGACCGTGAACGAGCGGCGCCTCGGACGCTCGGCGGAGCGCTGCCGGGACCCCGGCGCCCAAGGGCGGTCTTGCTCCCGCTCCCGCCCCGTCCCGCGCCGCGTCCGCTCCCCGGGCACCCGCCCGCCGCCGCTCCGGGGAGAGCCGCGCGAGACGGCGGCGGCGGCGGCCCCGACCCGGGTGAGAGGGGTGAGAGGGGCGAAAGGCACGGGGGCCGCGGCACTCGCGCTCCGCCCCGCGCACCTGTCCGGCCCCGGCCCGCGGCAGCGCCCGGGAGCGCGCGGCCCGTGGGGCGGAGGGACCGGCGCCGGCACCGAACTTTCCCGCGGGGCGGCCGCACCTCACCTTCGTTGGCGGGGTACACGCGGGAGCCGGTGACGGCCCCGCAGACGCCGACGAGGAGCGGGAGGAGCGCGCCGACGGGGACCCCGGCCATGCCGCCCGGCCGCGCCATCCCAGTGGAATAACGCCCGCATGGGCGCGCGGGCATAGGCATTGCCAAGGGGCGGGCCGAGCCGCCGAGCCGCCGCCAATCGCCGCCCGCCCCGCGCCACCGGCCCCGCCCCGCTCCGCCCCTCTGTGCGGTGGCCGAAGCGGGCGGCGGGGCCGGGAGCGGTGTGGCCCGAGGAGCCCGCGAGCGGGGAAAACGAAGGAGGAAGGAAGAACGCGCGGACGGACAAACAAACAACTGAGTAAAGAAATCACAAAAAGTCGCGAGGAGAACCCGCCCCCTCCCGGCACCGCGCGGCGCCCGGGAACTGCGGGCATCGGGCAGAGAGCGGCCCCGCAGCGCCCGCGCCGCCCCACCGCTGGGCAACAGCGCCACCTGGCGGCCGCGCCGAGCGCCTCTGCGGCCCCGCTGCCCCGCGCCGGAGCGCCGCGCGCCTGGGGTCGAGCAGCCCCCGCACCCGCTGCGGTACCGTTGCTGCCATCGCGTTTCTGCCTCAGAAAAGTACCTCTCACTGCTTTAATGTGGGCGAGCTCCGGCAGCGCGCTCTCTGCCCGCCCGTAGCACAGCTCTCAAACTCGCCGCTACCAATTCGGCTCCTCCCGGCCGGGGCTCGGTCTCCCCCTCCCCACGAGCGCCCGTTACGGGGCAGCTCCGAGCGGAACCGGAGGAGCGGGGAGCGACGCCAGCCTCTGGGCCCGCACAAGGCGAAAGTTCGGAGCGCCTGTCGGGGCGGGGGGCTGGAAGCAGCACGGCCGTGCCATTGTTAAACTCTGCGCTTCCTGACTTTAATTATCGATGCGAATTCTTGGCTTAATGAGGAGGAAGAGAAGGAATTGTTCCGTTATTATTACACCCCAAAGCAGGCATAGCTCGGTTCCAATGATGTGAACCTCCCACCTTCATGTTAGGGTAAATGGTGTGGGGTTGCAAAAGACTGGGTCGTTTCTATTGCAGTGACAGAAACGTCAGTTGTCATCAATTACGACATGCTTTGAAACCTCTAAAATATTCCAAGTATATTGATGCCACTTTAATTTAGAGATTTTTTCAGATAAAATAAACATAGACAATACAAAACAGCCTTGTAAATATAACAACAGAAATGGTCCCAGTTGAACCAAATCCACTGCACTTTGGCTGTTAGAAAGGTGTGAAAGAAGCCGTGCCAAAGCAATTGCTGCTTCCTTACTCAGGGTCACCTCAGCACATACAGCCCACACGGCCACACCAGCTGCAGCAGCACTCGGGCTGACCCTGCCCACAGCACACAGCACACAGCACACAGCACACACTGGGATCCAACCCTGGCCATGCTTGGCAGCAGTGGGCAACTGATCACAGAAAGATCACTGGTCCCCCCTGCATTCACCATTTGTTTTCTGTTCATTTTGAAGCGCTGGTGAACACTGTGGTACCCACACAGCATCCCCCTGACAGGTGCTGTGTGCTCAGAGCACGGTCCCACAGCAAGCAGTGTTGCTAGCAGGGCTCTGGAGTATCACACAGCTCTGCACAAGGAGCTGCTCTGCACCCTGCCTAGCTGTGAATGCACAGCCTGGTGCCTTCCTGCCCCAGCAGGATGTGGGGCTGCTGCACACTGTGCCTTTCTCCCCTTTCTCCCTCTGCCCACCTACTCATGCTCGTCCATCTCTCGGAAGCTTTTTGCTGTCAGTCAAGTGACAGCCTTGGTAGGAAGCTCTGTGTGCTTGCAGGCCTCCTGGGGCCCAGCACCATGCTGAGGTGGGGAAAAAACAGGAGGAAAAAGAAGCAGCGGGGGGAGGAAGCACAGATCCTCCTTTAGTATGCAATTCCACAGCCTGCAGGGGAAAATGCACCCGGATCCTCTGAAAAGCTTTTTCCCACAAAAATGTGAGCCATTTACCTCTCTCCTACACAGCTTGCACCCGACCAGCCCCTGCACAGAGGGCACAGCAGCCCCAGGCAGCTGTGTGCCCACAGCCCAGCCCTGCAGGCCTGGCACACACTGCGGTGGCACAGCCAATATCAGCACCGCGCTGCCCACCATCCCCTCCAGGCTCAGAGACCTTTGGCGGAGCTGTGGGCATAGCACATCTGCCCATCAGTTCCCTGACCAAACCTCTTGCAAGCTATGTGCGAGCAGCAGCTGCTCCTGGGTCCGAGCAGGATGCGGTTCCCCAGGCTGAGCTGCCATTAGCTGAAGCTGCTGCCAGAGCACAAAAAGCTGCAGGATCCCAGTGAGGAGAGAGAGCATCACGGCATCCCAGCAGTTCTATTCCAGCTGGGATCACAGGGAGCTTTGCTGTTGACCTCAATAAGAAAGGGATCAGACCTGTAGCTCATTTCCAAATCCACTCTGCGAAACAAGTGAGCTCTAGGCACTGAAACGTATTGACACTTCCTTCTCTTAACCGTGACTATCATCACAACAGTTGCCTATTTACTGCAGCCTTTTTGCTAACGGCAGAAGCCTGACAGTGTGCTTCTTCTGAATGGGCACAAACCAGGTTTTGGCAGCACAGGGACAGCCGTGCAGGACTCTTCCCTTCCCCAACCAATGCCACTGAGGAGGGCTGGGTGAGCGTCAGTGAGATGTTGTGGGATGTCAGTGCCAAGTGAAGCCGCAGCTGTGACTGCTCTGTACAGTGCAATCCCTAACGTTTGCAGTATGCCACTATCAGGTCCCCAAACAGAAATCCTGTCACCAAAAGCACTGACCATGCAGGAGTGTTTGTGATACAGTTCGTGCTGCCCACCATCAGTGAGCACAGAAGGGCACTGGCAAACTGTAAAATGTGAAAAGCAGCTCAGACACAGTGAAGAACAAAAGGAAGAAATGCAGCCAGTGCCAAGCCCGGTGCTGCAGCCCATCACCCAACAACAGGCCCGATGCAGCAGAGCCGAGCACCCACCTCGGCAGCGCAGGGCTGGGCTCACTGTGCTGTCCTGCAGGCAGGCCGGAGGCAGGCAGCAAGCTGCAGCTGTCCCAAGTCGGAGCGTGACCGAGAACGCCGTGCATAGCTGTGCAGCCCCGCAGGTTGTTTGCACTGTGAGCACAGATGCTTGGCAACTCGGAGAGGAATGTGCGTGCGTGCATTGCACCGAAAGGTTATTGAGAGCTGCGGAGGTTGACAGATACCTGAATGATTACAAAAGGCTTTTGAGCATCGCTGGCATTTGCAGCAGCAAGCAGCAGCGATCAGCCTCCAGCCGCCGAGCTGGGTGGGATGGGCCGTGGGGCCGCGGGGGGCACGGCCGGCGGGCAGAGGGTGCAGCCAGGGAGCTGGGAGGGCTGCGCCGCCCAGGAGGAATCGCGGCGAGAGCGGCAGCCCGTGCCAGAAGTGGCAGGGAAAGCTGATTGTGGCAGTTTCGGAGGAGCCTTGGTTGAACGCGAAGGGTGAGGCTGAAGTCTAAGTGCGGGGAATGGCAAACTACATCCAGATTTCTTTAGAAGCACACACCCATCTCTGTCTGCAGTGGGGAAAAGATCGAGTTCAACAGATGTAGCTTTCCTCTTTCAAGAATAAGGTCGCAGTTTGGGACTTCTCAGCTAGACTCTGGCCTGGTCTAAGATGAAGTTGAGTGAATTTTTGTAGGAATTTAGCTAGGAAACCTGAAGAGGTGGAACTGGGCCCTTTGAGTGGAATAGAATCAATCCTAAATCAATATAAATGCTTTGGATTTGTTTTCCAGTGAGAATTTCAGCTTTCCTGCCATTAATTACGGCAGGTATTACTAAAAAAAAAAAATAAAGTAAATTTAAAAAGATGCAGGATTATATTTATTGTCCTGATAAACGTTCTGCAGGAATGCCTTTGGATGCACAGATAATTAATTATAAAGCAAAGTCTCCAACCTGTTTTTTTGATAAAATAACCTAAAGAACAGCATGCCGGAGCTCTGACTCATGGTTGCTCTGTGTTTGGAGACAGTGATCTTTCCAGAGATTATTCATGCAATGATGGTACCAATCAAGCTGTACCAGGGACAGGTTCCCTGCGGAGCCCTGAACATTTCTGGCACTTCCAAGAGAGTAAATCCAAATGAGCTCTGAGTGAGCCATGCTCTCTGAGATACTCCACCCAGACTAATGAACAAAATTTTAGCAAACATATAGAAGGAAACTGTTTCTGTGCTTACGCTAAGGAACAAAACCAGCCCCTCCTTCTTTATTACTGCGTGCCATTTTTTAGTAGCACGATACAGACAGATTGGTTTTCTCTAGAACAAAATGCAAGACCCTGTTTTTTGTTCTCCTAAAAAAGTGGAAAGCATTTGTGCATTTTTTCCGTGAACCCAAGAGTGACTGCAGTGCTCCCCGAACAGGGCAGAGGCTGGGACTGCCCCCAGGAGGAGAGCTGTGCTCAGCTCTGCACAGGTTTCCTGGGAGACTCAGTGGCTGTCACAGTAAAACTTTACAAGTTGGCTGGAGCTGAGTGCCTGCCATGCCTGCCTTAAAACAGCTCAGAGAACTGCAGGCAGCCACTGTCTGCCGCGCTGCTCCCGCAGAAGGGACCAGCTTCATTCAGGAACATCTGTAAGGCACGAAAGCACCTTTTATACCTGCTGTCTACGGGCCAATCTGAAAATAGTAATGCTGGGCTTATCTCTGTCTGATGCATTCCCTGAGCATCTCTGTCCTTGCTGCAGAGAAGCTGCAGGCAGCAAAGAATGGCTGTTTATTATCTAAGAAATGATTTGCCACATTTTAAGGAACCTCTAGCTGGGGAAAGTGAGTACATACATTTGCATTTGCTTTAGTTCAGTATCTGCATTGATTTTATTGCAAAATATTTCACATTGTAGATTAATTTCACACAAAGCAAAAAAAAAACAACAAAAAAACATAGAAATGAAAACCTGCAAGAAGAACAATGGGAGAAAAGGAGAAAAAAAAAACCAAAATACCATTTGATTGATTTTATGTCAAAAAGGTGACGGTTATTGTTTTCCTCCGTGCTGCCACTGATCTGAGGAGCATTCAGAGAATAAGGTGAAGTTTGCTG